CTCACACTCTCACTCTCTCGCACACACACGCTCTCACACACACTCTCTCTCACACACACACACCCTCACTCTCTCTCACACACACTCACTCACACTCTCACTCACACTCACACACACACACACGCTCTCTCACACTCTCACTCACACACACACACTCCCTCTCACTCACACACACTCACTCACTCACTCACACTCCCTCTCACTCACTCACACACTCACTCTCACTCACTCACACACACACATTTATTAACATCACTATTGCAAAATACTGGCTTCTGGATATTAATCAACACACACTGAACTACCAAGTCATCAAACATAACATGTGAAGATGAAGTAATGTCATTTGCTTTGGTACCAAGCCAGATGAATTAGCGTAAACACACTGGTTTGACCACAATTCTTTTATTTTTTATGTATCTCAACCTTTTACAGAACAAGTAACAAAAAGAAGTTTAGCAGGATGATAAACTCACACTCATGCTGTAATTACAACCGAGGAGAGGCGGCGGCAGCGGAGGACGAGCTGCTGTAAATATAGCGGCTAAGCGTCGTAGCTGGGGTTTCTGCGCAGGATGACGAAGCCCTCCAGCACGGCTGTGACGGGGATGTACTCCTCTGTGGCCAGCTCCGCTCTCTCGCCGTGAGCCAGCAGCACCGGTGTGGTGTGAGTCTGGAAGCCTGTGATGGCTTTGGGTTTCCCGGCCTGACCCACCACATCTACAGCCTGCAAACATCACATCAGCGCTCACACTTTACAACCTCTTCTCACCGCATGTTCAACTGCTGATATTATTAGTGTTTTCATTTTTTATTATTTATTTAAAAGGAAACAAGATTTTATTTTTTAAATATTATAGTTTGTGCATTAGTTGTACTATTAGTTTGACTTTTTTTAAACAATATGACAATATTTACAATTTTATAACCTTTTTTTCCATTTTATTTTAAACTGCTGATATTATTTATTTATTTTCTTCTTCATTTTTTTTTCATTTTTATTTAAAAGGAAACAAGATTAAAAAAAAAAATTATAGTTTGTGCATTTGTTGTACTATTAGTTTGACTTTTTAAAAAAAAAACAATTTGGCAATATTTACAATTTTATAACCTTTTTTCCATTTTAAACTGCTGATATTATTATTTTTCATTTTTAATTATTTATTTAAAAGGAAACTTTAAAGATGATTTTCTCAATATTTAGATTTTTTTGCACCCTCAGATTCCAGATTTTCAAATAGTTGTATCTCAGCCAAATATTGTGCTATCCTAACAAACCTTACATCAATGGAAAGCTTATTTATTCAGCTTTCAGATGACCCTTATGACTGGTGTGTGGTCCAGGTTTTCTCAGGATATATACATCTCAATTTCAAAAACCGACCCTTTATGACTGGTTTTGTGGTCTGAGGTCACATATTACAGGCGCTGTACTGATGCTCTTACTGTTCTTGACGTCTAGGAAGGACACGAGGACCGTGAGGAGTCCGGCTACAGCCACCTGACTCATGAGCTGCCGGTCACTGTGATACGGGCAGAGCGTCAGCGTGCCTTTCCCCAGATGAGTGAGACCCTGAAACACACACACACTCGCACACACAGTCACACGCACACACACACACAGACACACACAGTCACACGCGCACACAGTCACACGCGCACACACACACACAGACACACACAGTCACACGCACACGCGCACAGATACACAGACACACGCGCGCACACAGTCACACGCGCGCACACAGTCACACCTAAAGCTACGGCTTTATTAACTCTGCAAAGTCAATTCCTTTTTACGAGCGTTTAGGGTTGAGTGCGTGTTAATGTGGTCTCAGATCACAGCGCTCATTAACAGCTCATTAACGGTCAGCAGCTGATGTTAGGAAATGCAGGAATCTCTCTGACGAGCAACACATGCAGTAAAGAGGAATGTGCGTACATAATTATTACTAATGCAAACAACGAGTCACATGACAAGGTGTTAATAGCAGCTGACCTGTGCGAGTCGGACCATGAAGAGGTTGTTGGGGTCTTTGGCGTGATACTGCGCCAGCTGCCTGAGCATCGCCGCCAGGCGCGCGTTATTAGTGCCTGTGGAAGAGAGCAACACGGTAACCATGACAACTGCATCCTCGACAGCCCGCTCTGATTGGTCGAGGCACTGCATGATGTAGGGCCCTATGAAATCAGTTTTATTTTTTTCCCAAAATTCCGTATTTTTTCTTCTGTTTACATTTTTTTCTTCTTCACATGTTTAATGGCTAAATCAAATTTTAGTAATCAAAAAGCATGTCTAATTAATTAAAATCATGAAATTTACACAATTTAACATCAATATATTTAAAGAACAAAAAAAATAATAATACATTTTTAGGACCCTATTACATGTTTTATTATTTTTTCTCACGTTCTGTTTTACGGTCACCAGATTCTGTGTTTAAGCATGTCTAATTATCTGAATGCATAAAAACAATTTAATTTATTAAAAGGTATTTTTACAATAGCCCTATAAAAGGTTTTGTTTTTATTTCCCAGATATTCTGTGTGTTTTAATTTTTTCTGGTTATCAAATGCAGGCATAATACAGTAATTTAATTTATCTTAATCTTAGGGCCCTACTGACGTCACACATCTGTTACTTGTGCTACAGCTTCCTCTAGAGACTGACCGCTGCCCACCATCCCCATGGCAAAGATGGCGTTGTGTGACACTTCGGGGTCGGCGTCGTGTGAGAACTTGCTGAGCGTGTCCAGGATGTTCAGCCTCGGGTTCGAGACGGAGATCAGAGCGAGCGCTAACGGCACCGCCCTCCTTAACGTGGGCTCACCGTAACGAAGCTGAATTCACCAGATAGACATCAGAAAGCATTAGCAAGTCAGCTTGGGAAAATAAAATGCATGAAGAGTTCAATGTGTCACAGCAGTCTTCCCCATGATTGTGTAGCCTAGTGAACCAAACTGAGAGACCATTTTGAAGGCTCAGGAAACCTTTGCAGGTGTTTTGAGTTGATTAGCTGATTGGCATGTCACCATATTCTAATTTGTTGAGATAGTGAATTGGTGGGTTTTTGTTAAATGTGAGCCAAGATCATCACAATTAAAAGAACCAAAGACTTAAACTACTTCAGTCTGTGTGCATTGAATTTATTTAATACACGAGTTTCACAATTTGAGTTGAATTACTGAAATAAATGAACTTTTCCACGACATTCTAATTTATTGAGATGCACCTGTATATACATGGGTCAAAGACGTTAAGATGTCTGCATCAAAAGAAATGTACAAAAGTGACTTTATGTCCATAGAAAGCACATTAAATGCTAGTAAAGTGTCTACTTTTAAGGTTTCAAATAAGTTTTTGGAGAATAAAATGTTACAATTTGGTTGAAATAATGTAACATTGTCATTCAGTGTAACACAACATTTATGTAAAAATTCAAACGTGCTTATTTTGACGTGTACATATTAAAATATATAAAAGAATAAGAGAGCATATTAAATTTGTGTTTTAAATGAGTAAAAAATTATTTCTGACAAATGGGCGAAACCTAGGATAGTGGCACATTTAAAAAAAAAAAGTAAAATAACAACTAATTAGTATTTGGGGTGAAAGTAATTAGTCTTTTAATATGTCAAATTGATTTTTGTTGTAAATATGAAAAATGTATGATATAATTTTTTGCTCAGAAAAACAAAAACAAAATTGCAATTAAATTAAACAGAATTTTTTAAACATTTTTTTGGGGGAAAAACAACAACAATTGAATGCAGTATTACACTTATTGTTTTTATGCTTAAACCCTTTTTCGTCTTTGACCCATATACCTTTAGTTTTTTAT